AAAAAAAAAAAAAAAAAGTTGTGGGATGTCTCCCACTTTATTCTCTTTGCTCAACACTGCTTTTGTGATCCAAGGTTCATTCTGATTCCAAAAGAATTTAAAGATTTTAAAAATATTTTAATGAAAATTGTCACTGGAATTTTGATAAGGATTTCACTGAATCTATAGATCTCCACCATGCATAATATGAACTTTTCTATCCCATTTTTGTGCTACCAGCCTTTTTTTGAGACAGTCTCGCTAAGTCACTAAATTGCTCAGGCTGGCGAGAACTTTGATTTTCCTGCCTCAGCTTCCCAGAGTGCTGAGAATACAAGTATGCATACATGTCAGGCTAGATACCACTGATATTTTAACAATACTCTTCCAGTTCATGAAGAGCTAAAATTTTCCATTTACTTGTATCTTCTTCAATTTACTATAGTTATCAATGTTCTACAGTTTTATATAGAAATAGTTTATATCCTTGGTAATTTTTTTTATTTTCTGGTAGCTGTAAATGGGATATTCTTAATTTCTTTTGTGGCTAAAAAGGTTGTATCTGGACCTTGTATCTTGCAGCTTTACTAAATATGTTCTTAATTTCAATAGATTTTTTTTTGGTGGAGTCTTCTGTCTTTTCTGTAGGCAAAATCACATCATGTGCAAGCAGGGTCAATCTGTTTCTAATTTGGATGTCTTTTAATCCCATTCTCTTGCATAACTGCTCTGGCTAAGACTTGCAGTATTACACTGAATAGAACTGGCAAGAATTGGAATCCTTGTCCTGTTCCTGATCTTGGAAGAAAAGCTTTCAATGTTTCAACATTGAGTATGATGCTGTGGATTTGTCATATACAGCCTTAGTGGTATTGATATACATTCCTTCCATACCTAATTTGCTGAGCTTTAATTATGAAAGGATGTTGAATTGTGGCACTTCTCTGCATCTATTGAGGTAATCATTTTTGTCCTTTACTCTGTTAATGCGGCATATCACATTTATTGATATCCATATGCTAAACAAAGACTACATCCCAAGGATAAATCCCAATTAGTCACTGTGAATGATCTTAATGTCCTGAATTATGTGAGGATTTTTAAATCTATGTTCATCAGGGATCTTGGCCTGTAATTTTCTTTCCTTGAATGTTTAAGGTTTTAACAAAAGGTAATTTTGAAGTAGTTCCTGTTCTTCAGTGTTTTGGAAGAATTTAAGGAGGATTGTTATTAATTCTTCATTTAAAATTTGGTACAGTTATGAAGCCATTAGATACTGGCCTTTTCTTTAATGGGAGACTTTTCATTACTGATTGCATCTCCTCAGTCATTATTGGTCCAATCAGATTTTCCATTCCATCATTCAGTTTGGAAGGTTGTGTGTTTCAAGGAATTTATCCATTTATCTAGATTATCCAATTTGTTGTATAAATGTTCACAGTTACCACTCACAATTGTTTCTATGTCTGATACCAGTTGTGATATCTCATTTCATTTGTGATTTTGTCTTGGGTAATCTAGATAAAGGTCTGTCAACTCCATCACTTTTTAAAGCCTTGTTGAATATTTTTATTGTTTTTCTAGTCTTATTTTGGCTCTGATCTTTATCTCCTTCTTCCTAGGAACATTCAGAGTTTAATCTGTAATTCTTTTAGTTCCTGGAGGCGTAACAGGTTGTCTATTTTAAATCTTTCTTCTTTTTTAATGTAGGTATTTATTGTTGTAAATCTCCCTTTTAGAACTTCTTTGGTTGCCACCAACAAGTTCTGGTTACCTTGTGATTCCATTTTCATTTGTCTCTAGAGTGAATACATATATAATTTTCCCCAGTATAGGGGACTAAACCCAGGACTTTCCGCATGCTAGGCAAGCACTCAACCACTAAGCTATATCCCCAGACATTTAATATGTATTTCAACTTCCTTTCTGACCTGCTGGTCATACAGAAGTATGCTGTTTCAGTCCCACATATTTCTAACCTTCCTGAAATTGTTAATACTGATTTCTAGTTTCCAGGAGTCTACTGATTACTGCTTTCTATATTTCTAACCTTCCTGAGATTGTTATTACTGATTTCAAACACCACTGTGTTTGAAAAAGATGTTATGCTTTCAGTCCTCTAAATTTGTTCAGCCTTCTTTCATGGCCTCTCTAAAAAGAGATACATCCTAAAGAATATTTTGTGTACCTTGAGAAAAATGTATGTTCTGCTGCTGCTGGATGGAATGTTCTGTATGCATCTGTTAGGTCGATTTGTTCTAAAGAGTAGTTCAATTCCAAGTTTTCCTAATTGATTTTCTGTCTGCATGATCTATTGTTGAAAGCAGAATATTGAAATACCTTACTATTAGCGTAGTGTGCTGTTTCTCCTTTTTATTACTACTTGCTTTATTTAGGTGCTCCAAACCTCTTCTTTGTTTGTTTGGGTTTTTTTGTTTGTTTGTTTGTTTGTTTTCCGGTACCGGGAATTGAACTCATGACCTCGCACTTGCCAGGCAGGCACTGTGCCACTGAGCTAAATCCCCAGCCCCCTCCAAACCTCTTCCTGATGAACTGATGCCTTTATCATTACACACTGACTTAAGTCTCTTTTTACAGTTTTGATTTTTTTTGTTGTTGACTTTCATTTAAAATCTCTTTTGTCTGATATAAGCATAGCTACTCTGATGGTCTTGATTTCTATTTGTATGGGATACGTGTTCCATTCCTTCATCTTCAATCTTGAAGGCGAAATGAATCTCTCATAGGCAGTACACAGTTGGGTCTTTTTGAATCGATTCAACTATGGTCTTTTACTACAGAATTTAGTCCAATTACAGTCAATGTGATTATTGATAGGTAAAGACTACTGCCAATCTGCAAATACTTTTCCAGTTGTTTTGTAAATACGTTGTTCCTTTAGTCCTCTTTTACGGTCTTCACAGTTAGCTAACTTTCTCCAGTAGTATAGATTGATTCCTTACTTTTTAACTTTTGTGCATGTCCTATCTGTTTTGTTTTATGGCTACAATAAGGTTTATGTGAAACATCTGGTAGTTATAACAGGTTACTTTAAGCTGGTATTTTTTAAATTACACTTTTACTGACACACATATCACATTTTTGACATTTTTTATACTGCACATTCCTTAAGAAATTATTGTATCTATTATTTTAGTAGTTTTTCTCTTTTAACCCTCCTAAGTGATTTACATACCATTCCTGCAGTATTTGGCTATTCTGAGTTTGAATATGCACTTTTATAATTTCATAAGTTTTCATTTTACTAATTAGCATTTTTCAGTTCAAACACTTCTATTTTTGCACTTAGGTATAGAACAGTTTTGCTCAGTAAAGTATTCTTGGTTGGTAGTTTTTGTTTTTATCCTTCACCACTTTGAATGTACCATCCTACTCTCTTCTGCCTTGTAATGTTTGTGCTGAGAAATCTGATAGCCAAATGGTATCCCCTTTTATGTGGTATGCTTCTTTTCTCTTGATGCTGTCAAGATCCTCTTTTGGTCTTTTGAGTTTTTGAATCTTGGTGTAGTCATTTGGGACTGATTCTAACTGCACACATTGGGCCTTCCTATGCCTAGGTATTTATACATCCTTCCAGATTTGGAAGCTTTACTTTCTAGTTTCGGTCCTACTCTTCCTCTTACCCTTCTCTCTTGAACTCTTAGTAATTTTAGCAGTCTTGATGCTGTCCCACAAGTACCACAGGAAATCTTCATTCTTTTTCACTCTATTTTTGCTTTTCTGGCTGTATATTTTCAAATCATGTCTTCACACTCACACATGCTTATTTCTGCTTGATTCTTAGGTTAATGCTATCTTTTAAAATTTCATTCATTTTATTATCCAGCTTTTTTTTCATATGTTCAACTTCTCACTTTGCTAATTCTTTTTGTGATTTTGTTGTATTGATTTTCTGTATTTTCCTTAAGTTCATTAAGCATCCTTAAAATGGCTACTTTGAATTCTTTGTAATGTAGTTCATTATCTACATTTCTTTAAATTATTAGTTTTTCAGTGGTCGTGTGTCTTCTTGTATTTTCAGGTTTCTCACTGGGTTATGAAGTCTGTGCGTGTGGTGAGAAATGCCTTCCTTTATGAAAGAAGGAGGTGCGGGTGCTGGCTGGCTGGTGCAACGGTTCTGGCACCAGGGGAGACACAGTTGCACAGTCTCTGAGTGTATCTGTCAGCATCGATGTTGACAAAGGTTCCAGGGTTCATCAGTGGCTGATGCTGTGGATGTCCACAGCAGGAAACAAGGACAGCTGGAGTCTTTGGGATGGCAGGATCATCTCCTTCTGCCACTGGAAAAGTCGGGTTGAGGGACGCCTCCTCGCTCTGTGTCTGACTGCAGGCCTGCTCGTGGTGGCAGAGGCATACATGGCTGGTGAGCAGTACCTGTGGAGCATCCCTGGAGCGAAGGCCTGAAATGTGGGCAGCGGGTAAGGATTTCAGCTCCAGGACCTGAAGCACAAGTGCATCCTCTCTATGTTCGTAAAAGAGTATGAGGCATAGGTACCCGTGAAACAGCCAGAGAGTTGGGACGCATCAGACAGAAGCGCAGGCATGCACAAGGTCAGCGGCGCCTGGGTAAGGACACATGCTACCTACTATGGCAACTAAGCTGCTATCCAGAATAGACTTGCACGGAAAAACTTTGAGGGTCCTCCTGGATGTTATCTATCTCGGTGGACCAGTGGCTCTGCTATAAAACGTGGGTGTGCACACTCTCACAAGAGTCAAGACTCTAAAATGTGGGCACTTTCAGAGCAGCCACAACGTGGAGGTCAGGCACGCACAGTGTAGAAGAGGTGGCAGCTCCAGTACTGGCACTGCACAGCAGCGGGCTCCTGGGGAGGAAGGAAGTGTGCAACTGCATTTGCCTCTCCGGGTTCCCAGGTAGGGACTGCTGTTGGTTTTCTCAGTGGAAAAGATGTCAGTGCTCTCTACCGAGCTGGCCTTTCAGGACCATTATTCCCACTATATAGCTAGTAATACCCTCTGCATTTCTTCTGTATTCGTAATGGTCTCCTGGCGTATCTGGTATGCCAGCTTCAACAGCGATGTTTTCTATGTGGATAGGCTCCATTTTTTTGTTCCATCTGAGCTGTGTCATATTCCTAAATGAGCCAATGAGCCCTGCCAGGGATATTCTGGATCGTGGATAGCTGTCTATATTTGTTCTTTATGGAGTGACTAAGGCTATTTCCTACTCAGCCATCTTGGTGACATCATTCCCGGAGACTGCTTAAAATACTGGTGGACAGACTCTCATAGTCTCTTTTACGTTCTGATCCTGATCTTCATCTTTGTGTGGTCCCATTCTCATGTGTGTGGAGAACCCACGACAGACTTCTAACTAACACGTGACAACAGTAAGAAGGCTCATGTGGTTTGCCACAAATCATTTCATGGTTACGTTAAGACTTTAGTGGCCATGTTGAGAGATCTTCCCTCCTGTTCGTTGTGAAGCAGCAAGGGATCATATTGGGTAACAACACACAGTAAAGAACTGCTAGTGTCCTCTAGGAGCCAAGTACAGCCTCTGGCAAACAGCGTGGGGAAAACCTAGCATTTTCAGTACTAGTTGCCAGGTTCCGAAAGCTGAAATAACCAGAGAGTATGGAGGTGGAGCTTTCCCAAGTTCAGCTTCCAGACGGACATCCTGTCCTGTCTGACACCCGGACTGCAGCCCTGAGGTCTCCTGAACTGAGGACACTGCTAAACTGTCCCTGTTCCTAGCCCGCTACAGCTGTGAGATCACAAATCCATGCTCCTTTAAGCTGCTGGCTTGTGGTGAGGTGCTACGCGGCAACAGAGAAGTAATGTCACTGATACTCCAGACTTAGATTTATAATTTTCCTACTTCCTTTCCACGTGTTCACTCTGTACTTGCCCCTTTCCTCTTTCTCTGACGCTGTGCAGACTTATATTTTACCCCATTTTTATCCTCTTAGTAACTATAAATCTTCATTTTCTTATGGTCTCCTTCAGAGTTAATTATGTTTTTAATGTATGAAAGTCCACATTCAAGTTGAACCATTTCAAATAATGTATAACAATCTCATAGTAGTACACTTCCATTTCCCGTTCCTACCTTTGTGTTCTTTTTGTGATTTACTTTTAATTATTCTTAAACAATAAAATATCTTTTAAATAAATTCAGAAGAAAAATACTGACATATTTACTCGTGTAGTTACCATTTCAGTGCTGCTCTGCATGTCTGATCTTTTATTGGCTAACACACATTTTAACAAGGTGACTACAGGACCTATTTTTATCCCTATAAATATTTTAAAGCTTTGTTCCAGAATGCAATTAAAGTTACTTGGAAAAGTTTGCTTCTTTTGCTTCTTACTTTTAAGATTTGTTTTATCAAGACCAGACCAGTGCTCAGCCTTGGGATAATTATTCTACACTACTGAGGAAATTATTCCAATTGACACTACCATTCTATGTACTCTACCCAATTCCCAATCAGTCATAGAATTGTACATTCTTGTGGACACGGCAATCTTTCCCTGGCTTTGGGCAGCTTTCTCACAGGCATGCACAATCCGGCTCAAAGCTGCATTTCCTCAGCGTGGGTAGCACAATAGGCTGTGCCTAGATTCCCTTGTACTGCAGCGCAGAAATTCTCTCAAAATTCTACAACAGAGCCACTTTAGGGCTCATCTCACTGCTTCGCATCTCTTAGGGACTGCTATACTTTGTTGTGTGATTCTCAAAGTATCTATCTGTTGGTTGTTTTAGACAGAAGGGTAATGTGGTCACTCTATCTTTTCTGGAAGCGTCATTTTCAAGTTACTTCTTATGAAAAAGAAAGGTTGACAGGACTACACCCAGGGCAGACAAGAAAGAGCTACAGAATCTTCTCAAGAAGCAGGACTGAGGCTCTTAACCAAAAAAACTGGCAACATTTGTTGAAGTTTAGACTTAGTAAACAGTGACTGCTTTTCTTCCTTCTCAGAGATTGTGTCCACTGCAATTAATGTACGTTTCTCTATCATACACACAGGTGCATGTGTGCGGTAGGGTATGGATTATGTGTCCCTTTAAGAACACGGATCTTCAGACCAAATGGAAAAACTCTTGAACAGTTTCAACACCATCTGAACATGATTTGGATGAGTCCCTGAACCTCAAACCTAAGCCTAAAGCCCTAATGATGTGAGGCTTTCTTAGAATGATCTGAATATATTTTTCATGGGGGAAGAACATAAATTTCTGCACAGATGGTAGACTGTAATGCATTAGAAACAGAAATTATTTCACATTTCTCTAATCAAAAAGTAAGATTATGATCCTTCTTCTTGAATGTGGGTGGAATCTGAGACAACTTTGACAAAGAGAATGCACCAAAAATGAAGTTGTACCAATATCAGGGCCCAAGTCCTATGAGATTGGCACGTTCTATCCATTATTTCCTGGAAATGTCCTTTGGAAGAGTTGTTCTGAGGGAAGATACAGCCAAACGGCAAGTCCAACTACTCTGAAATTGCTGCTCTAGGATTCCCACAAGTCCCTAGCCATTTTAGCCGTCCTAGCCCTGGCACTAGACGCGTAAGTAAAGGAGCCATTTTGAGTACCACAGACCCAGGATATACCACAAGAATAAACAGAAGCCCTCGACCTACAGCTCCAGTTACCTCAGGATGTTTGAATCTCTTTAGTCAAGGTCTCTGACATCATGAAAAAGGCAAATCGTCCAGCTGAGCCCTGATCAAACTGTCTGACCTACAAAACCATAAAGTCAAAGAAAGTGGTTAATACTACAAGCCATTAAATTGTAGAAAAACTTGTTATACACCAATAAATAATTGGAAGACGAAGAAAATCAGCTCAGTTTGGATGTGCCTATGAGAGATAACAGGTGAGATGTAGTAGAACTGTCAGGTTGGTTTTAGACAAATAAATTCTGGGACAAGATCCAGAGAGAGAATGTAAATTTGCAAGACATGTTTCTAGGCCTGCTCTACTTTTTCTTCTTCCCCAGTATGCATCGCTCTGCCATTTTCTAGACAATCTGTTTATTTTGTCTATTTACTGTCTTTTCCTCATACAGTGTAACTTCCCAAAGATAATGACTTCAGTTTATCCACTAAGGCATCCCCTGCACGTGGAGCAGTGACAAGCATACTGAAGATCCTCAAGCACGTTTTGAATAAATGAGTCAACTTAAAAGTGTTATCTAAGGCCATTTCAATGAAATTACCTTAAGAATATAGTAAAATAAATAAATTTTAACAATGGTCAGTTTAGCATTTAAGGCTTGAATATATGAAGAAGAACCCCACAGAGGAGACTAGGAGAAAGCAGCTAGTTAGGAAAAAAGATAAATAAGAAGCAAATTAAAGAAAGCATTTCAGAAGGAAGAAGTGAACAAGTGTGCCAGTTACATGTTGGCGGGTTCAGTAAGATGAGCGCTGAGCACTGAACTGGCCAATGTGAAAGGCCAATGACGACATTCACCTCAAAGGTGCCATAGGAGGCACAAGGATGAGGCCTAACCACTGAGAACAGGAAGATGAAGGAAAGGAAACACATATTAGAAACGAGTTTGGTTGTCAACTGGAAAAATGGCTACGGAGGAAGACAATGCAGGTTTGTTGTTAATATACGAGTGTTTTTGTATGCTAATAACCTAATAAGAAGGAAGCAATAACATAGAAAGAATGGGGGCAATAAGAACAACAAAATAATTTATCTATAGTTAGCAAGGGAAAAGTAGAGCACATGGGTATAAATGCAGGTGCACTGACAGGTGTGGCAGAAATTCCCTGCTATTTGCTTCTAGTCTCTGAGTAATATGGGAAGGTCATCAGTTGATGATGAAAGAACATTTAAAACAGGCTGTTAGCATGGGACACAAATATGCCTGGCACATATCTTACATTAAAAAAAGGATCAAGATGCAGTGTGTACATGTAGCAATACTCCCCGAAGAATATATTCATTAAGTATCCCAAATATGTATTAATTCTAAAAATTTAGAAAGACTGTATTATATTACACTATAACTATGGACATGTCTCTTTCTCTACTAAAATATAAAATTAAGATCAAAACAGTACTTTTACTTTTTCACTGTCAGCATGCACCATAATGCTCTATAATCAAATGTTTTCTTAACTTACTAAGTAAGTACATGTTACAGATTCCTTTAAGACACTGGAAGGAAGCCAAGAGTTCCATAACATCAGTAAACACAACACTGTCAGGCGTCTACATGATGCCAGTGTACACACACTCAAATATACACAAACGCTATGCATAAACACTGAAAAATCAAAAACCATTAAACTTTGACTTAGTTTATTTATGAAATAAAAACATTTCTTTTTTAACATAGTAAGAATATGAGATATTGATATTAAAAATAAATGTTTAGAATTATGAGTTACTCTGGAATATGCTTCACCCTGACCCTAAGACAACATTTCATGACAAAATGTTTCCGTGTAGCTTCCTAACAACTAATGCGCTGAAAAAGAGTTACCACAGCAGTATCTTCCACATCAAGAAAAACAAGCAGGCACACGCTTACATTATAGCCATATTTTTTAAGGATAGGGCTTTCTCCCAACACCAAGTACTGAGAATAACAAAAATTAAGCACCTGAAGTCAAACAGGGTAGACGGGCGGGGACGTTAGGAGAGATGAAAATGTACAAATCTGCCAAACTAAACCATCACTGTGTATGAACAATTTTTAAAAAGTGAAAATAAATAAATCAAGCAGTGGTCAAGACAGAGAACATGCTCCTGACATGTGGAATACTCTCATTATTTAAGATTTTAAAATAACCCATATAAACCCATAACAATGATTTGGCTACAAATTTTAACTTTCAAACAAACCCCCAAACACCTGTAAATTGTGTTATGCAGAACAATTGTTTTTAAAATCCCAAAGCTCAAAGACTACATGAAACCCCAGAAATACAAATAAATTTGAATTGTGACTATGTCATATTGTCATTACCATTTAATTCTTTAATTTTCTTGGGACATTTCTTTAACAAAGGAAATATTATACATGGTGATACTATATGCTACTGGTAGAAAATTAAGAACTCTTATATACAATTCTTTTAAAATGAATTCAATTATTACTGAATATATCAACTTATTCTAAAAAATACAAGGAAGCCACGCAATAAACGTAATTACCCTGAAGCAGGCCCAATTTCCTCTAAACCAAGGATTTGCTAGGTTTCCCAGCTAGCCTCTCAGAAAACCCTTCTGTAGACTGACTTAGTCAGAGCACCAAGACGTAGTACAGACAGGAATGCAAGCAGCTCATCCAGTAAATTTGCTGTTACTCCACGGTTACTAAAATGAAGTCTCCGAAGGTGAGGGAAAAGAACAACACAATACACAGTGCACAGGCGGCAGAGAGCCAGAGCAGCCTGCTGGTGTTCCTTTTCCCTATGACCTGAGGCTCAACTCTGTAGTGAGATGCAGGGGAAATTTATTTATTTTTTTCCCCGGTACCAGAAATCAAACTCACGACCTTGCACTTGCCAGGCAGGTGCTGTGCCGCTGACCTAAATCCCCAGCCCCGCAGGGGAAATTTAAAAAGAATATCTGAAGAGCAAATTAAAAGAGAGAGGTGAGTGTCAACATGTTTTACTTTTGGTGAAGTCATAGGGTTTCCACCACTGAGCAAACTGCAGGGCTTTCTTCCTCTGGTCCTCAAAGCTTTCGCGGATGCCCTTCCGCCAAAGTCTTGGCTCTAGATCCAACATCCCACCAATGATTTCCTTTTAAAGAATGAGAAAAATACAAACATATGTGTGTACAAATAATAAGGAAACCAGGAATAAAACTATTTATTCTTCTATGAAATATAACATTAAGTAACTCATCATAACAATGTTCACATATTACATAAATACTAGTTTCTGGTAAAAAATTTTTTTTGTTTTCAAGTAATTCCAACTTTGTAAGCCCTGTAATTCTTCAGAGTCCTAACTGTGTCTGTTAAGCAAATTGCCCATTTTGTGCTAAACACATCTACCAGGTGGTAGCCAAGGGGAAGAAGAAAAGGTGGAATTTAATTAATTTGGTCCATATTAGTTGCTCTGGTAAAGAGTTTGGAGAAAAGTTAATCAACTTTATCAGCTAACTTCGCTGTGCAACTGCAGCCGAATCTCAGGGTGATGTTCTCTCTGCTGCTGTCACCCTCACAAACGAGTTTCTTCCAATATTAGCTAGAGTTTCTTTTCAGGAAGCAAAGTCATATTTTAATATTAATCAAAGTAAATCTACAATTTAAAACTAAATCACTTTCACTGAAGAGGTCACATTCGCAAGCTCTAAAAGGAATGGCTTTTGCATTCTCTGCTTATTATTCTAGAATACCTCTTTCATGACCCTCTGCCACAGAAATTAATCAAATGTGTGCATGTGAGTGTCCATGTACAGAAAGATATGGGGGAGACCTGCAATTCTTACCGGAAAAGCAGCTGCTAACTGCGGCAAGTATGGCAGGCAGCAGCAGACAAGGGTCACCACATTCTGCACACTCAGTGTGGTCCTGCTGGACTGTGCAGTGAGCTCTTACACAAATAACGTATCTCTCTCTAAAATACTGGCTCCTCATCTGAGTAAACATACCAAGAGGGCTTACTATCCACATGTAAATGCCATGCTGCAGGGAATACAAGGGTAACTAATACACAGCTACCTTGTCCTCCGAGAGCTTATAAAAGAATATGAAGCTGTGGTGGGAAACAATTCTATTTTATGGATAAATCAGGAAAATATTCAAGACAAAGAGAAGATTCCCTACCATTAGGAGAAGGAATAAAGGGCCAAAAGAGATAGTAATTGTATAAAACAAGATCAAGAGAAATGGTACAAATTTACATTTAATGTAAAAGTTTCTTGATCCAAATAAAAGTAATAGAAGGCCTAGCCAATAGAAAATAAATTCTAAAGAAAATGCTTCAATGGTACAATGCTAAATGTTCCTTTTAATCTTTTTTTTAAATTTTAAAAATAAAAGAAGGAAAACATTAACAAACAGACAACCATTTACAAACTAGCAAAAGAACAGTACAAACAATACAGTTACAAACAAAGTGGTCAGTATCATATAATCCCTAATATAGGTGTAATGTTTGAAGAGCAGTAATCGCAACTGAATTTCAATGAGTAAAAAATGGATAATTTACCTCTTTACTAGACTCAAAAATTTTTTAATGTATCCAAATTTATAGATGCTTTAGTTTCAAGGCTCTACGGAATAACAATAGGACTTTTCACAGCAGGGAAAACAAAATAAATTTCTACTTTGAGACTGATTCTGAAAACGTCTAACACAAGTTCCTATGATATATCAAACAATTCAAAGATGTACGTGATTTTGGAATCTTGTTAACTATTAAGGACCACATCATAGTAAGTACTGTGTCAAAACCTGCGCAGTTCTTGACGTCCCTATTCACTGTATAAGATGGTCTCGTGCAGGGTGGAGGAAGCACACTGGGGCAAAGGGAACACTCAGCAGAGTTCATCAAGGCCCCTCTACTGAGAGAGATGATGTCATCAAAAAGACCTGATTCAAAGATTCAAAGATTAGATTAAAAGGCCACTGCTGGAGTTATCATTGCTTAGCCTTCCTTTGGCTGTTTCAGCTGCTACATTAACTTCAGTCCATTCCTGACATTAATTTATTGCTCAGCGGACCTTTAAGGACTCTACCCTAAGAGGGCAATCTCTGAGAGAAAGTACTAGCAATCAAAACTTCTGGCCTCTACTACCTGCCCAGGAACTATGTGTGTGAAATGATTTATATTCTGGATTACACCTTGCCTAACTGTACATGAAGAGGTGAGGTAATTTTGTTCTCTAGTTTGACCATGACCATAGGTACCGCTGGCTCTGTCACTTAGCACATGACCCGGGGCAAGTTAGTAATTACTCTGTAGCTGTTTCCCCATCTTTGAATGAAAGCTGTAATATCAACACTAGAGTTACTGTGCGGGCACTGAATGAGTACTCAGAACAGCAGCTGACCCATGGCAAGCCCTGCCTAAACGTTAGCGATTTTCATCATCCTCAGGCTAAGACCGACTGACTCCAAAAGGAAACTAATGTTACAGGTGCTGTTGACACTTAAGGAATATTTCCTTCCAAAAGAATTTTTCTGACTCTATTACAAGTGTTTTTTTAAATATTTGTTAACATTTTCCAGATGCTTAATCTAACAATTCAGTGGAGCCGTACTCATATATCTCACTGTACAGTACAGTCAAGGTTTTGATTTTCATTCAAAAAAAATGTGATTACCAGGCAGGCATGACAGTGCACACCGGGGGCTGGGGATTTAGCTCAGGGGCAAAGCGCCTGCCTGGCAAGCGCAAGGTCGTGAGTTCAATTCCTGGTACCAGAAGAAAAACAAACAAAGAAACAAAACAAAACAAAACAAGACAGTGCACATGTACAATCCCAGCACTCAGAAGGCTGAGGCAGACACACTACTGCGAGTTTGAGGCCAGCCTGAATACAGAGCAAGACCGTCTTAAAAACAAACAAGAAATGTCATTACCAAACTACTAACTCTTAGGATTTTATCAAATTTGTGAATATACCTTTCCAAAGTAATGAGGGAATTTGTGCTCATCTTCAATGACATGGGCAAATCCTCCTTGAAGGCCAAAGTCCACCGAAAAGTAAGGTAAGCCTCTGGGCACCTAAACAGACAACAAATTAAAAGACATGTAAAGACTGCATGAAATCATGCTTAATCCCTCTTCCTGCTTTCTGACATGATAGTAATTAAGACGGATGTATACAAGGAAGCTCCAATTCTAGAGATACCTAAGCAATGCCTAACTTTCTAAATAAAAGATTTCACTTCGATAGCTTTTTAGTGAGAGAGTTCTAAATCATATCAGACAATTATAATCAAAACCAATTAAGTTTCTGTCCTGGGAGGGAAAAACAAGTACTTTCATATAAACACAGAATAGTGTTCAAGACTACACAAATACAAAGTAAGGGTATGCTTTCCCGTATTTTACATATAACAAAGAACAAGAACAGGGGCCTGGCCATGTACTTTACGTTTCCTTTGCAATACTCCTAGTGTTTTTATTATGACACACTTATCCAAGAGAGCCAAGAACAATCCTAACTCTTTATAACTGGTGAGGGCGGGATAACCACACTCAGTTCATCAACCTAATTTCAAAATGCCTCTAGGATGCTCTATCACCCTGTACCGCTTTCTCCCCTCTCTCTTTACACACACACACACACACACACACACACACACACACACACATACCCCAAGTATTTTAAAATATATCTTCAGTAGAAAACTGGAAACGGACATAATTTCTTGCCTTCTCTCTCAATTAGGTAAATTTGTGCCCTTCCACATTTTTCCTTGCAAGCCCCACTATGGTCACTGGAAATTATGCCACCAGGGTCCATTTATACTAACATTTCCCCCCTCAAAGCCCCTCACACACAATCAACATTTATTTCTTTGCGATGCTGAGCCACATACTCCTACTTAACTACACGAAGTTTGCGTTGCACCCTCGGGCAGCACAATGCAAAAGGAAACAGCACAGTACAACGGAAACAGTAGTCACCTCGAAACATTACAAAGCAAATATAAGTGAGATTACCAGAGTCGTTCATAGCACAGGAAAAAAGCGAATGAAAATCAGTTTATAAAGTATGATAAAACATAAAATGTAGGGAAATGGGTTGTATCTGTTTCTCACCTCAGGAAACTTATTTAACATCTGAGTCTCATGAGAAATACGCAATGTCAGAGGGTTGCCGTGAGGGTCAAATAGGACAATGCATGTAAAGTGCCCAGCCCAATTCTTAGCATACAGATTACTAATTTCATTTCTATCGCCCACATAAGCTTGCTCAATAAAAAGCAATTTTTAAAAGGCTCTATTAGAGTATTTTTGACAGCTGATCTAAATAACCAGGTGTAAAGCATGAATCCCAATGGCTAAAGAGATGTCATGGAACCACATCTACTAAAGTATGGTCCTGTGAGAGGGGGGAATCATTTGAGGAAGAAATGCAGTGATAGCACCATTGCCTTTTGCTTGTATCATGCTGGGACAGGCAGGATAACGGACCCCTAAATATGTCAGTGCCCTAGTCCCATATATGTTATGAGTACATTACCTTGTGTGGCAAAAGGGACTTTACATGCATGAATAAGCTAAGGATCTTGATATGAGAAGGTGATCTGGTGCCATACACATAAGCTCAATGAATCACAAGGATTCTCATAAAGGACAGAAGGCTCAGTAAGAGAACAACTGGGAGATACTACACTCTCCACTGTGAAGATGAAAGAAGGGACCACAAGCCATGGAACATGGATAGCTTCTAGCGACTAGGGAAGGCAAGGGAATCAAATCTTTCTGCAGGAGAAAGCCTTGACTCCAGAAGCGTCCAGAAGGAACACAGGTCTACTGACACACTGATTTTAGCCCCATGAAACCCATCTCGTACTTGTGATCTCCAGAAAGGTAAGACAGTAAATGTTTTAAGCCATTACATTTAGGGTAATTTGTTACTCCAGCAATAAGAAACTAATACACATATCAAGACTCAACAACGCATGGCGTATATGCAAAGCTAGTACACTGAATACCCAGCTATTGTCATGAAGACAGCTGTCTGGCAAGCTTGCAGAATACGAAAGGTAGAGCCTAGAAGAGCTGTTGCCGGTAAGCACAGCCAGGCTCTGGTATCAAAGGGCATGTGGACAGTTAGAGCTCTCCTTTTACTAAACGGGCCACCACAGGGAAAAGCTGGAACTGCGGTGCTCCTCTAAAGGTAGCGACAGAATGACAGCAAAAACATTTATTTGTGGTACAAAAACAGTAATATCCCAATCTTCTCCTTTCATTCCAGCTGTAACTCCCGACTTCTTTTAAATATTCTTGAGTTTCAAGGGTTCAGCTAAACTCGAATTTTCCTTGCGAAGTATTTTCCTTAATTAAAAAAATCAGTGTCTAAATGTTGAACTTTTAAAATTACCACAGTTTCCCACACAATTAATCTTAACATTTTTAAAAGTTGAGGAAATTTCTCATGAAATCTCCACAAAACAGCCTTGTGAAAATGATCATTTTTTGGTAAGTTATTATCATGCAATTCCTCTGCATCTGAGCGTTTAGATCTGCTTCCTTCATCTTTTTCCATGCGCTTCACACGACACTGTAAGAAATTAAAAGACTCAAAGAAAATAAACAAAAAGGGGACCCTTATATACACACAACAAAGAAAAACATGAATTCAAAAAAATCAAAATGAACCGCAAACATGTGAATCTCTATTATAAGTGAGGAATTAGCACAGTGCGGAAAAAAAAACCTCACCATACTCTCAATGAAGCAGACAAAAGAATTTTATGAAAATTACTAAGGACATACTTTTAAAAGAAGGATAATGAGGCTTTTTCAGAAAATGTTAAAATAACTCAGTTGTTCATTTCAAGTTCAGAAACAGGCATCAGTTTTTAAAAGACACTAGAAAGCTTGTTAACCTACAAAGTGACCTCCTTTGGAATTACTGTCACACTGACGTTCGCTTCGCAGTTCTATCCATGTACTGTAATTATAAAGCCCTGAAGCTGAAAAGCACCTCAAGAGGTCTTCTGGCCCTTCTTCCACCTGCTGCGATTCTCAAATCATCTCAGGTAAAAGCCTGCATGTTGCCGTAGGAAAGGCAATGGTTCCTAGCTTTGAAATATTTTAATGCTGGACATAACACTGTCATTCATTCTTGAGAGAATCCCAAATTACAAGCAAAAAGCAAAACAAAAACTAGGTAATAGGAAGCAGGAAGACAGAGCTTTCTTTCTCAAATGAAAAGGGAATCCAGAGGCGGAGAGAGGAGAGAGAAAGGAGAGGGAAAGGGCATGAAAAAGCAATTAAGATTCCACACAAGTCCAACTCCACACGAGGAACGCAAACTGCATACACGGCAAACATGGACTATTAAAAATAAAAGCTCAAAACCGTTTGTAATTGTGCACTTTTTAATGTTTATTGCTTTTCTCTGTACGTTTATTTTATTGTGTTTTTAGTCAGATTTTCACAAATTTGTTGATCGTACCCATTATTTCATAGCATCACCTTATGCTTTCATTTACGTGTTGACTGACACACTTGATGTTTTCAAAGCGAAAGGGGTTAACTTAACAAGATCGCCTGGTCGCTTAATTCAGATACTTACCTTGGTTTTAAAAAATAAGAGATACTCGATGATTCACCAGTAAAAGCTATGTATACCTTCTAGCAGATGGGGTATTTAAAAATTAAATGGGGTATTTAAAAACATTTAAAAATTTAAAAATGTTTTCAGCTGCCATGAAAACCATTTTCTGAAAGAATATTTAATGGTATGGGCAATTTTGGCTTATGAAGTACAAAAAGTAGGCACAAAATATGTATGTACATTAATCATCTTTTTCAATATGTTAATAAAAGACAGAAGCAAACAGGACACTTAGGATGTTTTTGTTTTTGTTTGTTTTTGTTTTTATTTTAGTATGTTGTCTGGTCTAATTTACCTGCGAGGGAGGAGAAAAAGACTGAAGATAACGTTGCACTTCCACATTGCAATTATGTACCTTCAGTAATGCAATGAAATTTGAATCTTCTGACTAGGACATAATTAGGAACCCTTTCAGACACAAGTCAGCTACCAGGAATCCGGCTTTCGGAAGAAATAAGGGAGAAAGAGTCTAGTGACCTTTACTGGAAGAGGAACTGGCAAATGTTTCCTATTAAACAACCACATTGTTCCAGGTTTTCTGAACCACGCAGTCCTTATTGTAACTCCTTAACTCTACCCTACAGCAGAAAGCAGCCACAGGCAATACATAAACAAAAGGGCATGGCTATGTTCCAATGAAACTTCAGTTAACAAACAAGCAGAGGATTGGGTTCAACAAGCTGGCTCAAGTTGCCATTTCCTGTACTAGAATACTAGCTCCATAAAGGCAAGGAGCATCTTCATTTTGTTCAACTATGCACAAAAAGTGCCTAGAACAGCGCCCACAAATAGTGTGCACTTAATAAATATTTGTACAATTACTTTTTTTAATTTACTTTTTGAAGAAAAAAGGAATCCATACTTCTATTAAATCTCTATTTAATTACTTACGTTTCTAGAAATAAGAAAGGTCATTATAGAAGTACTGACCAGAAGTGCAACCTGTATCTAAAAGTTGAATGGCAAAATAAGACTACACTATAAAACATAGTGAGCCTCTATGTTTACAAATTCCTATGTTTATGAGAAAAAAATTGGAAATTTTTATATTAAAAAAGAAAATGGATTCCAAATTGAAACTGTAGCCTCTCGGAAAATTTTTCTATCATTACGGATACCCCTATTATCTCAGGCCTACAAATCGAAGGCCTGCTGGCAGATTTAGATGGTGGCCATATAAATTGGGGGGGGGGGGATATCATGGCAGACGGCCAGTACCAAATAAAATTTCTTTACAAACAAGCATTTTATACACCAGGCATATGAAAATAATTCCTTATTTGTGGAATTATTTTGCCTTTAGTCACTCAGCCAAATGGTCTATTTCTCAACTAAGATGTAGAAGTTAGTAAAGATCCTGAACACTGGAATAATTTCCTCTATTAGAAAAAAGTTGGTACTTACAGACTTTCTGATGTCTTTTGAAGAAAGATCAATCAATTTCTTGTTCATGGACCACTCTTCATCAGATTCCATTATGGCTTTCTAAGAAATAGCCACTCGTTAAATGAAGGAATAAAATAGCAGCAAATATAAAGAGATTGCTTAAAATAATACAAAGAATTTATTACATGTCACAGTATACATAATAGTACCATATAATACACATAATAATAGACAAAATAGTATATATAACATACATTTACCTAAATAGATTAACGCTTTCATTTTAAAAATTTTTTTATTGATATATATTTGCCACACATAATAAACATATTATAAGGAATTTGTACTTGTGCATAATTTTGTTATTTAAAATTAGAATGTCTTGATTGTGTTAAAATCCTAGTTAGCCAAAGACAATATTCTTTTACTTACTATTAATTTTTTTTTTTGGTCTTTTTAAGACAAGGTCTCACTATGTAGTTCAGGTTGGCCTTGAACTCACTTTGTAGCCAGGCTGGCCTCAAACTCTCAATGATCCTCCTGCCTCAGCCTCCCAAGTGATGGGATTACAGGCATGCGCCACCACGCCCAGCTTACTATTAACTCTTGCATACTATCTTTAGTTCAGCTTTACATGAAAAAAACAATCACAGATAAGATCAAGTACTATAATATTGAACATAACTTGTAAATATAAAAACTTACAAATTTCTTATTACATTCACAGAATGCTACTAAAATAAATTCATTCAGTTTCACTGCTCTTGTGCCAACCAAAAACTTGAACTATTTCTAGCCATATAAAAAAGTAAAAATGCAGACAGCTAAGGTCTATCTTTGCCTTTAAAAAGCAGCAAGAAAAATATGCAGAAATGGAATTTTAAGACTTTTCCAGGTTCAGCAACAAGGCTACATTTTATAGTAAAGAAATGCTTCCTAAACATAAAAGCCAGTGTGATGATATAAAATAATTACTTTTTTATACAATCATTAGTACATGTTAAGTACATCAGATACACTGCTGTTTCCTATTTTAAAGTCATGTGCTCCTCCAACTAGGATGAAGGAGGGGAGAGGAAAAAGAAAGAAGAGGGAAAAATATGTGTATACACACACACACACACACACACACACACACACAGGATAGCTAGAATAATGGTATTACTAATATCGGCTGGTTTATCAAAAGGAACTGTTAATGTGTAACTGATCAATCTTGCATGCCTACATCAGGTTATATGTACAACCATTTTGAAGATGACATTATGTAATATAACAATCATGGTTAATATCCTATTACCATGTTTTGAAATTCTGTATTATTGTTCTCTACACTGTTTTGTTTATGCATTTGTTTTTGTCATTTTGGGTTTTTTTTTTAAATGAAACAAAATCTGTATGTATATATAAGGATAGCTGGGTTAGGTGCATTGCTGATGTCTGTGGTTTATTGAAAGGAACGGTCAATGCTTAAAATTTTCTTTTTTTTTGACCAATTTTGCACGCTTGAATCTGGTAATCAGAATGACTGATCTGAAGACAACAATATGCAGTGTAAGAACCATTGTTGGACTCCTACCATCTTGTATGGTGAAGCTCTGCATCATTTCCAAAGTTTTCTTTTTATTGTTACCGTCTTTGTTTGATCAATCTTACATTCTTACGTCTGGCGGACTGAGCAACTTCGTTGAAGACAACAGTATGTAATGTAGCAACCATTGTTAATTCTTGTCATTTTGTTTTGAGATCATGTACCATTTTCGTTATTTTTGTGTTGTTTTGATTTTGTCTTCTTATTGTTTTGTTAGTTTTTTTAATTATTAAAGTAAAAAAGTTATGTGCTCAACTCACATCATAATGTAGCACACTGAATATAAAACTGCCAAGTGAAGTAACAGATATGCATTTTTAAGGTTCAAACAAAAGCTTTAGTGTAGAAGAGAAATATGCTACACCACTCTGCTAAGAGATGACATATGTGGCACACTACACGAGCATCAGCAGCTGCTCTACACTGGCCCCTCCCTGTAAATCAAATGCTCCTAGTCACAATCACCCAGACTGCTGAGGAAGTACCAAAACATCCACAGTGGAACAAATATAATAATCTCTTTCTCTCTAAATTTGGTCTGCACAGAAATAGCATGAGCCTCTGGGATTACATAGCTTATTTTCCTATAATTTAACAACACAAGTCTTTAAATCAAATACATACTATTTTTTAAAATTTCTAAAGAGAAAACTATTTGCCATCTCTTTAACAAATTTCAAAATCCTTATAGCTCAAATTCATAAATTTTACCATTTGATATGCAATCTTCTTGTACCAACTCACTGAATATTATCTCCCTTTTTCTTTGCATATGTTAATATTTCACACATGGTTCTACACTTATGCATTTGCATTAGTCCATAAATCACATTGAAGTCAGCATCAAATGCTAGTAAAAGTTGATTGAACATTGTAATGACACTTAATAGGTTGTAAATAGTCATTTACTTCATGCCCTAAAATGTACAGCAAACTTAGACATTTTTCTTTCATAAGTAGCACAATCAGATACTAAATATTAAAATTTCATCAGTAACTTGTCTTAGCAATTGTGATTTGTACTATTTACATGTTATCTTTGGTTCCAGTTTTCCAGTGATCCATTTTCTAGAATTACAATTACAGTTCAGACTTGAGAAGTGTTTTCTGGTAAAACACACTTCACTAGAGAAATGGCGATGAGAACAGACATTATAATTCACTATTTGCAGCAAGTATGTTTTTAAAAGGTAAAAAGTCTACATATCTTGCAACAGATATGTATTTAGCAGAAAATTTTTTACTATACCTTCCTTTATATGATATAAAATTTGATATGGATATGGAGGAAAAAATACATGAATAAAGACAACTCTATGCTTAAAACAGCACCACAGCAAAAAGTAAGTTATGTGTGCAAAAAATGGCTGTAAATACCTTAAAATAGACCGGAGCCATGTCACCCACTTCCTTTGGGAGAGGAATACACTCATACACCATGTGGTACTGTTTCTTCATGCTCATATTCGTCTCTAAAAAGATGCAGTCCAATCCTTTATCTTCAAACAGCTTTACTAATGATTTCCTAAACATCTAAGGAAAGCAGAAAAAATGGACACGCACGTATATTTAAGTGCTTCTCTTCTACGTGTGTAAAAGACTTTAAAAATAATAATTTGAGGTATTACCTCTATTAAAAGAAAATGATGGTGTCTAAGCGCAACATAAAATATACCACATGTATTTCAAAAATATTCATTTTTAAAGTTATACAACAACTAAATGATGAAAGAAGTTGTTATGGCTCATTATTAAAAGAGACACCAAAACAATTTTATTCTTAAAATAGATATACAGGTTCCAAATTATGAGGATGACATGCAATTGCCGTATTCCTAGAATGCACCTCATTCTTAGAAAAATCTGTTTTGCACTTTCCTAAATTATCGTTATTCACCTAACTTCCCATTCCTCATGTAATAAAGGTATCTGAATTAAAATTCCCTACAATGCATTTAGGTAAGGTATACTGCAGAATATTGAGGTTCACAATTTGTATTGCATTATTTTAAAAAATCAAGTAAATGTGAATAATTTTGAAACTGAAGTTATTTTTCTTAAACAAAGCTATAGAGGACCACTATATAATATCAAAGCTATAAATTATTTGTTTTAAAATACAACGTCTAAACAGAAGCTATCTAAAGATAACAGGGCAGAAGACACACATTCATTTTCACTCTCTCTGTGGAGTAACCCTCCAAAATGACATTAAATCAACTTTTCCCTAAAGGTATAAACGTACTTGAACAAAGGGAACTGGAGAAGACACAATGAAAAGCAGACTACAATATATGACTTAAATACAAGAAAGCTGGTTCGTACACTTAACAGGGAGAAGGGGGATAGCAGGAACGGCAGGAAAGAAATGCATGTTGCCCACAGAACCCTCAAAAGCCTCAGGAATTTGAAATTCACCTCACGGAAGCAGAGGTAAAGACGCCGCTAAAACAGATGGCATACCGATCTCCTCACCAGCTGCGTACTACAAGGTTATCCTCTGGGAAAGGTAAAATATGAAGTAGCTAAGCTTGGAAAACCAGTCACATTGGAAGACATATACCCTGAAAATAGGGGTACTGTTCTTAAATACTCCATATTCAGTCACCCCCACCTTTCTTCGCCCCCCCAGCATCCAAATCCCTGGCATGCAGAATAAGATGGGGCAGATCGAGGAGGTGCAAAAGGTCTTTTCTGGAGGTCAGAGCCCCAGGAGAAAGACCTAAAGGAACCGGCATCAGCAGTTTCTAAGTGAACCGGCCCATTGCATCGCTCCACAGGGAAGCGCACTGCAGGCAAGCGTCAGTAACCCTCTTCCTCCACCCGTCAGTGTGGGAGTTTTTTTTAAATAGAATACAGACTATAGGGGCTGGGGATTTAGCTCAGCGGCAAAAGCGCCTGCCTGGCAAGCGCAAGGTCGTGAGTTTGGTTCCCGGTACCGGAGAAAAACCAAAAAAAAAAAAAAAAAAAAAAAAAAATAGAATACAGACTATAGCATATATCTGGCATATTTTTCAACATAAATTTAAAGGTGACCAAGTATCACTATATTTAACAATCTGAACCTTATTTGAAATTTATTATTAAAGTATGCTGTGCTAAAATTTATCTTTGTATTGTCTGTTAAAGAGAAGATGTAAAGTTAAATTTGAATTTTACTATATAATGGTGCATAATTTTTTTAAAACTCTTGAAAAAGTGGCTACTACCCTTGCAAACAACATTTCGTGCCGAGTCAAATCAATTTTTAAAATGTACCCAACAAAGGAAGTGAATAATCATAAGGATATTCACCAGAGTATAATTAACATACTTGAAGGTAAAACCCAAAAAATAAAACTCACGTTTAAAAATATACAGTACTAGGATTCATTGTCCCATGACAATATATAATTTCTCCTATTATTTTTCTTTTATCACATGAAGAGAGCTATGTCATTATTTGTATAAAATACTCTGCTTTTCCTCAACTTTCCATAATGAATCTATCTGACCTACAAACAAATGAGTCTTATTCCTTTGGGCAGAATTAATGAATGATTTTACCTCTGCATTTCTCCCCGAACCTGAAATAACACATTCATGTATTCAGTATCTGCTTCTTCACCGCAGCACTTTCCACCAGGTAGCTTAATTTCTCACAGAAATATAAAACACCCCCACCAGATTCCTGTCATTAGTAAAGACTCTTGGCCCTGTTACTTATTCTAAGTTAAATCTGTTTGTACATATACGGTCTTAAAATGCATCCCAGAAATCTCTAAAGTAATTCTAAAACCCAAATATCCACATTTTTCACCGTAAATCATCTGTTGTCATTTCCACTAATGTGGGAAAGAACACTTTCCTACCAAAAATATTCATATGCTTACTCTTGCACAGCCTTGGATGCAACAAAACAAGCTGTCCATTTAACTTTCGTGGTATAAATTTTAAAAGCCCAGGAAGTAAGAGACTAAATTTCATGAAGCGAACCAAAATATCTCCTCTCTCTTTGCATCTTTATCAGCACGCTACAAAGAAAACCATATCTTGAAATGTATCTTCTGAAGTCATGATTTTCAGGTTTTTAAACTATGGCTCTCTAATACCTACATACAGTTGTCAGGTGTTTAACAGAAAAACAAGACCAACCTACTTCTCTCCCGCTGTCATTATGAGGTTTTGAAATAATTCAGCAACAATTTTATCCATGTTATTGTGCCTTTCAATCTCTTTTAAAAGTATCAACCACCAAAACAAATCTCTAAACCCACAATCTGGGTCAGATTATTAAAGGAAAAGAGCAGAAATTAAAACTAGAGACAAAATTCCAAAACTAGGACAATATGGCAACTACTGATTCTCCAGACTTCTTTTTATTATCTGAAAATTTCTTTCTTTTTGGATGGGAATCTACTAGTTTACTGTGCCAATAATATTTCACACTACACAAAGCACTGATTAGATTTTCAGGTCAAAATAATAATTAGTTTGGCACCAATTATTTAGTAAATGAAAATATTTTCCAAATATTCAGTATTTAATGGAAATACATTGGTATCTTGGTTCGCAAATGCTTTTGTTTGCAAACCAAAGGGTTTGGCAAAATTTTGGTTTTGTTTGCGAACTCGGCATCACGTAATGAACACAACCACAGCCATCTTTCCTACGTGAACACAAATATGGTGACTTGCTCCAGAATCACGGAACAAATTAAGTTTGTGAACTGAAATACCACAGTAAAATTAAGAGGTGGTGAGTGATGGATACACGGTCTGGAGATACACATAACTATGAAAATACAAGTACCTAAATTCAGAAGTAAAATTGCTGAATGAAGTAGAAAACCTGGTAGAATATACGAATTATAACACTGTGGAAAATTTGTTCATGATCATGCTGACCTGAATTTCTTCCCAGATGTCTTCATCCAACAAGGTAGCAGCTCGATGATGCTGCAAAGGGACTATCAGGCAGTGCCCTTCGGAAAGAGACCGGAAGTTGGGTAAACATAAATAAACCTGCAGGGAAAAAATTCCCAAGGTGAAATGTTGTTGCAAGTTATTCCTAGTTGGAACACATGAGCTTCTCGTAGGGAAAAATCTAATCGTATTTAATGAAGTATACTTACATATGGGAAACACTGTTAATATTTTTAAAGCCATAAAGATAGCTTTTAAAAAACTAGAAATCTAGAGCAAAAGGATCAATTTTCATTGCTACCCATCACACAAAGACAAAAATTTCCAAAGGCAAAAATGATTATATTTTTTTCTTGAGCTGAGGAGCTATACACATTGAAAGCCTTTGAAAGAACATAATTTTTGAGAAATAAAAAGTTTCTGGGCCTGGTAATGCCAAGAGCAGTCTAACTGATGTCTACCTGTCAGTTAGTCACTTTCTGGTTGCTCAGACATAATACGCCCAATTTAAAGGAGAAGGGAATCATTTCTCATCATTTCTGCTTCACAGTTTCAGTGAGCTCAAATCATAGCTGGCAGACTCCAAGACAGAAACATAGTGAAAGAGCACGGCAGCAGCGGGCATGGTGGCGCACGCCTGTAATCCCAGCACTCGGGAGGCTGAGGCAGGAGGAACGTTGCAGGTTCGAGACCAGCCTGGGCTACAAAGTGAGCTCAAGGCCAGCCTGAACTACATAGTGAGACCTTGTCTCAAAAAGACAAAAAAATAAAAAAATAAATAAATAAACATGGCGGAAGAAAGCAGCTCATGCCACAGAAGAAAGAAGGGAGGAGCTGGGAACAAGGACACAACTTATGAGACACACCCCTCCCCCAGGGACCCATGTCTTCAACCAGGCCCCACCTCAAACTTAAGACTTTTGGGGGACATTTTTTTTTTAAGACTGAAACCATAACATTCCAGGCAATGCATGGAAGTGTGGGGTGAAATCAAAAGTGTAGTCGCATTGCGCTCTTGTGGGCTTCTGGAGGTGACTGTGATCCTGTAACATATTTTTGCTTCTCATCTCAGGCCTTCTGAAATACAGGTAGATGTCTACATCACCCAATAACTCTTGCATTCCGCATATCTGGAAAGATAGCACCATCTGGATGATGCAAAGTTTGGCCATCAGCTTGAGTAAAAGCTAGCCCCCTTGGACCACAGCTGCAGCAGCCCCTGAATGCCTAAATGGCTAACCTCAGGGGTACATCTCCCTACATGGCCCTAACTGAGCAAGCTCTCTCTTCAAGTGAATGATTTACCATTCTGTATTCTTCAGTCTGTGATGGGTGGGGTTTCTGATTTCTGCGATGTAAACAAGCTTTCTGCCAGAGTATAACAGAGCTCTAACAAATCACTCATTTGCAACTGAAACCTCCCGAGCCTGGCCTTCGCTATCACATTCCTATCAGCATTCTGGTCTCCTGAGCTCCAACCAGAATCATCTTTCAAGCTCAGTGTACAGCATTCTAGGGCCTCTCTAGCCTCCATCTCCAAATTTTCTACTCTAGCACCCAATTTTTCTAAATTCTTCCCACACATCAGTTCCAAAGCCTTCTGAACCATGTAGTCAGGTACTATCAAAGCAACAACCCCACTCCCAGTACCAACTTTTCTGTATTAATTACTTTCCCCATCACTGACTGATAATCCTGATACCCATAATTTAAAAACCAGAAGTTTATTCTAGCCCAAGGTTTTAAGAGGATTTGGTCCATACTCAACAAAGCTTCAAAGCAGAAATGGCATGGTGAAAGCATGGCAGTGTGAATCAGTTCCCATCCTGACAGCCAAGAAGCAGAGAGAGAAGGGAATATTCAGATAAAAGAATATACCCTTCAAAGTGAGTAACTTACTCCATCCAACCAGGGCCCATCTTCCTCTGTGAGACTTTGGGGGACATTTTAGATCTAAACCATAACACCTTCCTTCTCTCACTAGCTGAAAAACCAATCTAGCGAAGAGGGAAAGGAAATAAGCTCAGGATGCCCTCACTGCTCATTAAACTGTGTTTACTTACATTCATGTATTACTTAAAATCTGGTGCTATTTTTAAAATTATATACAAATAGTCTTTTTTTTAAAAAACAAAAGGTCAATCAGGATGCACACAGTGAACAAAAGGTTTCATTGGAGAACATAATATTCTGCAAAAGGCGTAATCTTATTTCATATTACTTTTGTTAAGTTTTTACTAGAACAATTTTACATGGCAGATATGTATTTATTTAATAAATAAAGCAAATTTTAAAAATTGTGCTGAGAAAGGACAAAGTAGGTACAATATTTATCTAAACTTACTAGGAGGGAGGAGGGAGCAAAGGAAGCAATGAAGGCAAGACAGCAAGCCATGGGCATATGCGTAGACAATTTACAAATGAAATATTGAAATATCAGAAAATGAAATACTGAAGAAAATAACTACACTTACAACACGACTACTGGGATAATGCTGGGGAATCAACAATGAGCAAAGAGACACAAATCCTGCTCATAAAGAATCAGTGAAAGAAAAAACAAAAAAGGAATCTGTGGAATGCTATACACTGAACGTCTGTGTCCTCCCCAAATTTTTATGTTAAACCTAAGGCAACATGACTCTAGTAGGTAGAGTGACTCAGTCTCTGAATTGCTTTAAAATACTGTTTGCCGTCTCAGTTTAAAGTCAAAGTAATTCCTTAGAAACTCACAATCGTGTATGATTTACTCAAGGAATATTGAACAGAAGGATTTGTTTTTTATTCACATTAAGAAAATTCATTAGCTACAATGTGTGAAACAAGCAATCACACTTTATAGGAACCAATGAAATTTCTTCTAATCAACACTTAAAATATTTCTTTTATTACAATTGGTAATGCATATTAATTGCAAAAATTAATGAGTTTCATTGCAACATTTCCATACATGCATATTAGGTGCTTTGACTGTATCCAGACACCCTACGATCTTCTCTTACCACCCACTTCCATCTCATCTCTTCCCCTTACAGATTGGTCCCTTTCTAATATCATGTTGTTATGGTTTGTGTCTGCGTGTCCCCCACATCCTCATGCAGTCATGGGGCAGGCTTCTAGATTTATGATTGGTTCATGGTCCAGTGTTGGAATTATGAATGTGAGTGCTACACCCGCCCTGGGGCGGGTAGTTTGCATATAATGTAAGGGAGGGAAAGAAGCTGCTTGACACTGCTCCTCCCTTTTGCTCTGGTTGCTTTTGCTGTTTTCTGCTGCCATAAACTGTTGCCCTCTGCCATGTGCCACTGCCTTGGAGCCTTGTAGTATGGACTGAAACCTCCACACACTGTGAGCTAAATAAACCTTTCCTTCCTTAATTTTGGGCTTCAGGTATTTTGTCCCAGCAACAACAGAAAGGTAACTGAGACACATGTCAACTTTTTTTTCCTACAGCCCATAAAGTGTGTATATACTGAAACAGTCACAGATGAAAAGCTAAAGGTGATGATAGCTTTCAGACCACAGATAGTAGAATAAAGCACAGATAGAAAAGGTAGATATTCAAATGCTTCAAAGCCTTCTAAATGAAAAGCCTGGTCTGAGAGGGAAGAAACTGATTGGCCAACTCAGTAAGCAAAGAGGAAGAATTTAATACCATTAGAAACACTAAACGGAAAATATGGATTATCTCATAGCAGAAAAGGAAAACTAAGAAGAGAACAGGGATGTATGAGATATTAGTAAGAGTTGAAGAAATAGAAGTACCTTTTCACTAGCTAACAGTTTCCATTGGCCAGTGAATTAACAAATGGCTACTTTGGACACAACTGCTATGCTTGGGAGGTGTTTATTTTATCCCTACTAAAACTCATGTTGAAATTTAATTCACAGCATAGAGATGTCAGAACCAAAGAGGCAATTAGGTCACGAGAACACCACCCTCATAAGAATGAGTGTATTTCCCCCAAGAATGAGTCATTGTAAAGCAAATTCAGCTGTCCTTGGCCCTCTTGCTTCCATTCTTACTATGCGATTCTTCCATCATGCTTGGGACAGCACAAAGCTTCACCAGAAGCCACGCAGATCGTGGTACCATGGTGTAGTGCATTGATAACTGGTGGTCAACTTATAACCCCCAGCTGAACTGAGTGAGTGGTGCTGAGTGTGGGAGGCCCACCTGAGGACTGTTGCCAGCAGCATAAGAGGCAGACCTGGAGAAGAAGAAGCGAGGCTGTTGGGAGCTGAGAGAGACTGTGGGGAGCTGGCTTTCCTGATGAACTTGGCTGTTTTCATCCTCCGAGGAGCTTGGGACCTCGCTGGCACTGAGAATGGCTTTGGTTCACTTTGGGGAGCTCTTGTCCTCACTTTGAGCATAGCTGCCTGGTTCTGGAGGGGAAGATGGTGCACTGCCAGCCTCCTGGAAAAGCTTGCTGCATCGGCTTCCCTGATGGGAACTCGGCCATCCTCATCATCAGAGGAGCTCGGGACCTCACTGTTGCCGACGATGGCTGTGGTACCTTTTGGGGGAGCTCTGATTCTTCTGAGCATCACTTCCTGGCTCCAGTGCAGATCCCTCAGCCTGCTAGCACAGGTCCTTCATCCTGCTGGCACAGACTTTGTAGATTCCACCACTGACCTTTGGGCCTTCTCAGCAGATCCATAAAAGAGACCTGCGTGAGACGTTGTCATGGGTTCTGGGCCTCCAGTTGGATTCGTGGGAGGCATTGTTATGAGCTCTGGGTATTCAGCTCAACTCATGTAGGACATTGTTGTGGGATCCACGCCCTCAGCTGGATTCCTTGGTCTTAGTGTATGGACAGATTCCCTGCACTCTTTTGTATACTGTTCTTTGGGTGACTTATAAATAATCATATAAAGTATGTGTCCTGTATTATGTTGTTCCCCTTGCAAAATAAGCCACCCCAAACCAACACACATGGTCTTGAGCTTCCCTACATGTAGAACTATGAATTAAATACACCTCTTTTCTCTGTACTTATCCAACCTCAGGAGCTTCCGTGTAGCAACAAAAATGAACTAAGACAAAACCTATATGGCAGGATAGTATTAAGTGGTCTGCACACCTACTGCCTCTGTGCCTCTCTCTGCACACACACCAGTCCTCAGGAACCTACCGACAATGGAATCATTGAAAAACGCCCAAATTTAAGCTAAAGCACTGTAGAAAAACTTAAAATATTATCTGACGTTTGTTGTACTCCTGCATGTTTAAAAGTATGGATGAGACTAAAGGAAAATGAAATACTTATCTATAGATATTTATAAAAATTTAAATATTTATGTGAAAGCCCAGAAAAAAACTTAGAAAAATACCTAAAAGTAATTAGTTAAGATAAGGTCTTTTTTCTTTTAAAATTGGTTAAATGTTAAACTGATTTCTTTCATTTATCTTCTTGATAAAAACTGGAGGGAAAGGGCAACAGAGTAAGGAGAAAAGTAAAGACGATCAAAGTTCAAACTGATGAAACCCCTATCTTAGTGACCTAAAGGTGTTAAAGACTGTGTCTATACGACAACAAATGAAGTAAATAAATATGTATACACATAATCCCTACATTACTGGGCCCTGAGGCTAACATTCATTCGCCCAACGTTTCCACTCACACGTTCTCTTTCTTACTCCAGTGCAGCCTTCTCGTTCCATCAGCACCAACCTCAACCCCTCTCAAGGCCTTTCACTCACTGATGCCGCTTCCTGGAACATTCAGTCCGCGCCTATCTTCACCCTGTTGGTTCCTTCCCATCTTGCACAACTTACTAACGTCTCAGAGGACCTTACTAGACCACCTTTTCAAAACGAATACTCCCCCACCATTTTATCCCACTTCCTTACTTTACTTGCTTTACAACAATACCCTCAAAGCAGGACAAGTATTAATGTCCTTATTTTGTGCTCTATGTCAGTACATTAAAAGCCTCAAATTTTTCCCTTATTATATATTTTTCCCATGACCTAATGAGGATTTAGCATATATCAGAGACATAAAAATTATTTACTTAATGTAAAAATTAAATATTTATTGAAATACATTACTATTATGGACCATGAACAGGAGTAAGTGACTGATACTTAACAGTGATTACAAGTTATTTCCATGTTCATAAAGCTTAAAGTCTATTGATAGACCCAACAACAAGTAAATCAAAGAAAATACAATGAACTTCAAATTGTAAGATAATCTACAAAGAAACAAACCGATGCTATGGGAAAATACGCAAAGGAACAGAAGCTATTGAAGACTCCATCCCTATGAGGTGAATTTGAGTCAAGCGCTATCACAAGATGGCAAGGCTAGTAAAGGGCAGAAGCAGGATGTGAACCCATAAAGTGTGGCCCCACAGTTCAGAACATTAACCACTACTCAACAGCACTTCTCAAAAGAACAGAATCACACACGGAAAGAACCTCTTGTCACTTAAAAATTTATACTTGCTTTATGGACAATTCTAAGAATTATAAGAATTTAGAAAAATATCTGAAACACAGAAAAGAAAGCTAGTCTTTGGGGGAGCGTATAAAAATATGAAAAAAGAAGCAATTCTATGTATACGAATCAATCTTTTCCCTGGGGCAACCAGTTTTATATTTCTTACCTTAACACCTATTGCAACAATAAGGTGCTTGGGAAACCGAGAACTGTCAAAACAATACAGACACTTTTCCATGTGTGCAGCAAGACGCTGGTGCTCAGCGATGGCCTTTTTCCTCTGGTTCTGCTCCTCTTCACCAACACGTCCTCGCTCAGCTGCTTTGGACACAAACATGTCGTCCAGAGTATAATGGTCTCCATCTACTTTTCCCATATACTGAAAAATCAAAATAACAGTAGTAGGGATGCAGTGGTTACGATTTAATGTACAATAAAGTCATATCTGTAAGTTCTATGATAAAACTTACACATTAAAAAATAAATTTAAACAATCATGATTATATTTAGATTTGATCTTCCACTGTCAGTCAATCCATCAACACAGTCACCATCAATATCGTCACAACTAAAGTTTACTAAATATTTACAATATGCAACTCTGAAATTTTTTGTTTGTTTTGCTTTTTTGGTTTTTTTTTCCAGTACCAGGAATCAAACTAATGACCTTGTGCTCGCCAGGCAGGCGCTGTGCCACTAAGCTAAATCCCCAGCCCCTGCAACTCTGAAATTTGATTATGTTTTACACTCATATGAAGCACTGACCACTATAATTACTACGTAAGAGACAATCTGAAACATACAGATATAACTACTTTCACTTTTTAAATTAGCATATACACTATAAAGAACATAAAATATTTTTCTGTGGCTGGGGATTTAGCTCAGCGGCAAAGTGCCTGCCTGGCAAGTGCAAGGTCGTGAGTTCGGTTCCTGGTACCGGAGAAAAACCAAAAAAATTAAAAAATAAAAAAATAAAATAAATATTTTTCTACTTTATATCTTCTCCACACCTCCCCCAACATAATCTGTGAACAGACTGATGTTTTTAAAACATTAAACACACATTTTACTTGAGTCTCTGCTTAAAATGAAGAGCTGCATAAGTCAAATTCAAACTCTGGTATCACCTACAAAATCAGACACAAAAAGGTATTATGATAAAAACCTTGGGTTCTACACCCAAAATAACCACAGTAAAGTTCTATCTCCTGTCTGTAACCTTTAACTATTTATTCTCTCTATCGTCTCTCTATCCCTTATTTCCTCATTTTACAGTGCTTATAACATTATTATCCATCTGCTGGGGATATCCTCACAATTACATATCTGATAAGGAATTTATATCAAAATATACAAAGAACTCCTCTACTCAACAACAACAAAAACTGGCAGAGGAGGTGAAGAGACAATTTTCCAAAGAAGATGTATGAGTGGTCAATAAATATACGAAAATATACTCAAAATCATTATCAGGGAAAGGCAAATCAAACATCCAGGAGTGATTCCCTTCACACTCACTAAGAGCAGAACGAGACAGATAACAAGTACTGTCAAGGATGTGATGAAATTAAAACCTTCATATGGTTGATGGGAATGTAAAATGGTGTATCCGTTCTGGAAAACAGTCTCCTAGCTCCTTAAATAACTAAATATAAATTAACTAATAAACAAACATGTGGGTTACCACTTTTATTCCATTTCTAGGCATTTACCGCAAGAAAAATGAAAACATACCTACACAAAAACTCATACACGAGTCTTTACAGCAATATTATTCATAATAACCAACAGCTGAAAACACCCTAAATGCTCATCAACTTATGAAGGGATGAACTTGTTGTTGACCCACACAATGACCTATTATGCAGCCATAAAAAGGAATGAAGCACTGATACATGCTACAAGGTAGATTTTCTAAAAATCATTATGATAAGTAAAGAAAGCCAACCATAAAAAAAAGCCACTGGTGCCGCATATAATTCTATTCATATGAAATGTCTGGAACAGAGAAATCTATAGATACTGAAAATATTTATTGGCTGCTCAGGCCTCAAGGGCAGAAGGATTTGAGAGTGAGAGGAATAGGATTTCCTCCTGCAGTGGTGAAATGCTCTAAATTCACTGTAGTGATGGCTGTGGCATTATACACAAATATACTGAAAACCACTGAATTGTATGTTGTAAGTCAACAAATTCTTTACCATGAAAATTGTATCTTAATGAAGTTGTTTAAAAAAGAAAAAGAATTACTTTATCCAAAAACAGTTATGATCCTTGCCCTCTGCTCCCCAGAGAGAAACTAAGCCTTCAGAACTTCCTGCCTGATAAGATCATTTTTGTTGACCTGAGACCCTTGCGCCACACTAGATAGCGAATGCTAATAATGTGCTTAAACAAGTAGTTTTATTAGGTGGCTCTGGGCCACCTATCAGCTTCACCTCCAGAGTAGCTGGAAACTAAGCTCAGCAATCTGCACAATTAATTGTGTCCATATGAATTTTGCTAAGGTGTGAATGAGATTCGCTGGCTGTCAGTACTTTGTGGGTATTGTCATGCATCACTCCTGGGAGAAGTTAGCACTGCATACAACTCACTGGCACAGTGAAGCACTTGAAGCCCTCCTAGACACTGTTCTATTATGTCCCTTCCTTTGGTTGATTTTAGCTGGTATTCTCTCTGAAATTAACCTTAACTATGAGAAACACAAATTGTAGTGAATTGTGAATCTTTCTAGCAAAATACTAACCCTAAGGATGGTCTTGGGAAGCTCTGTGCAGCTGGCGTCAGAAGAAGGGTGAGTCTAGGGATGCTCTAGTATCCCATTTGGCTGGATGGTTAAGGACTCAGGACGCAGTTACAGAGCTGGTCACAAGGAGCTCTGCGAAAGAGAAATGTGGACCGACCTCTCCATATGAACACAGAGTGGGAAGACATCTGTGCCCTACGTAAAAATATTTATGCCACTAGCTACTCCTATCATTGCCCCCAAAGAGTTTATGAACAATGGGGCCGCGTAGAGAAAAAACTTGGATGTGCTAAACAACACCAACTTCCACTGTCCAAGCCAACCTTATTGAAGCTCCTCCTGAATGCCCCACATGCCGACCACAGAAACCAATACTAAGATCCTCTGTGATACTATTCCCCTGGGGACCAGGCAGCTACCCGGCAGCAGGTAGAGACACTTAACCGATTCCATCACGCAGAGCGCTGTGTTTTGCTCATACTGGAATAGACACTCTCTCTAGGTCATTTATTTTCCCACTTTGAAGTTTGAGTAAAATATAACAACAAATACCAATAGGTAAAATAACAACCATTGATAACTCCCTAAAAAAAAACTCTGAAATACAATGAATTAACTTTCATCTTCTAATAACTCAGATGTTCAGATCTTAGAGGAAAACTGAAGACATTTTAGTGCCACATAGAAATAATGGGTTGCGACAAATCTACGTAATCAGTATTACATTATTACTAAGAAACAGACAAGGCAGTCTATTCTCAAAGCATTTCAAAATTATACCAATATTTTTAAACCAAAATTTTCATCAAAACAGTAAAATTGTCCTTCCAACTCCAGGCCCACAAATACATTGAAAAAAGATGAATTAGTTGATAAAACATGACTATGTTTCCTTAAGGAAAACTAATAAATTATTAAATCATATACTCAACTATGAACAATTTAAACTTAGATCAAAATCTGAGAGGACTCTCCAACAGTCTACACATAACTCTATCATGGTCAGAATTGGGACCTAATCACAATCAATTCTTACTTTTTAAGAACACAGAAAATAAACACTGGTGAGAATGTGGAGAAACTGGAACGCTTGTGTACGGCGGCTGGGAACATATACTTACGCAGCCACTATAGAAAACACCTGGCAGTTCCTCCTAAAGTTAAACACAGAGCTACCATTTGATCCAGCAATTCTAGATATACACTCAAAAAACCTAATGCTGGGCACAGTGGCACACACCTGTAATCCCAGCACTGAGGAGGGTGAAGCAGGAGGATTGCAGTGAGTTCAAGGCCAGCCTGGGCTACACAGTGAGTTCAAGCCCAGCCAGAACTACACAGAGAGACCCTGTCTCTACAAAAAATAAAGCTGAGACTCAGATACTTGTATACAAATGTTCATAACAGCATTATTCACAATAGCTAAAAGGTAGAAACAATCCAAATGTGTGTCAACAAATAAACGAGTTAAAAAAAATAATATGGTATGTACATATAATGAAGTATTTCTGTCTTAAGTAAAATTCTGATACACGCTACAATATGGACAAACTTGAAAATATCATGCTGAAAAAGTCAGATACAAAAGGACACAAACTGTATTACTCTATTTATATAAATTATCCAGAATATAGAAATCCAGTGGCAGAAAGACGCTGTGGGAGAGGAGAGAAAATCGAAGCATAAGAGCTGATAGATGTTCAATGGATATAAAACTTGTTTCAGATAATTAAAAAAAAAACCTTCTGGATAGGCCAGTGTGGTCATGCATACCTGTAACCCCAGTTATGCAGGAGGCTGAGGCAGGAGGATCCTAAGTTTGATGCCAGCCCAGGCAACTTATTGAGAATCTGACTAAACAAATTTTAATAAAAAATACAGTAATAATAATAATAAGATGGGTTGAGAATATAGCTTAGTGTGAAGGCCCTGGGTCCAACCCCAGTGAGGATTTCTAGAAATGGATGGGTGATGGCTGTACAACACTAGGAATATACTTTCAGCCACTGAATTATATACTTAAAAATGGTTAAAATAGAAAAATGAGCAGAGAATTTCTAAACTAAAGAATGTTAAATAAATATTTTTCTAATGCTCCCACCTCCCTCCTACTCCCTGAACTCCAAGGTAAGGTTCAAAACAAATGAACACTATTTTGTTAAGCTCCATAAAATGAACTCCTGCCTACGGCTTTTTCAGTTCCACATAAAAACAAAATATTCTACGATTTTATGGCACCAAATTTCAATTTCCTCTAAGGGACACCACAGGAATATATATATGATTTCATATTCCTGCATTCACCTCCTCCAAATCTAATTTCACCCGTGTCTATGCAAGTCCACACAAGTGGGAACGGCTGGCTACCAGAAGAATGAAAAGGACCAAAGGATGTTGCAAGCTGGTGATTTCGCTTTTCCTCAGCTCACTCTAAGCAAACCTTTAAGAAAGCTGGATCACTTACTCTCGAGATTTGTTGTTAGTTTACTTAAAATGAACAAGTAAAAGATTTGTCTAGTATGTATTATAGAAATCTTCAATGTGTAATTTAAAGCTTACTTTCACCAAAAAATACATTAAGCCTTAAAAACATATTAAGCCTCAAGCATTACAAACATACAAAAAAATAA